CCTGACTACTTCACTGGGATTAATCCCCAGTACTACAGTGGAGAACAAAGAACAGGCAGCTTTGGTGGCAGATGTCTATAATCACAGGACTCTGGAAAGCTGAGGCAGGGGAGCCGAAAGTTCAAGTCCACCCTGGGCAACACAACAGCTTCACCAGACTGCAGACATTTTTTTCCCTTTTGGAGCCAGAGTCTCACTGTATAGTTCAGCTTGGTGTTGCTTTGAACTCACTGTGTAGCCCAGGCTGGTCTTGAATTTGCTGTGCACTTTCTGCCTCATTCTCCTGAGTGCTGGGATTATAAGCAAGTGTCAGCACCCCAGTTTACCCCAAATTAACATAAAAAAGTTCTGAGCATGCAGTAAAGAGCAAAGGCTCTGAGTTCATGAGTCAGAACCACCATCAATCAATATTAAAATGGAAAAATAAAATGAAAATATCCTGAGAATGTGCCTCAATGCAGAAACCCAACATTCAGTTCCATGACCACAACCAAGAAAATATAATCAAGTTTATGACAATGCTATAAAGACAGTGATGCCATCCGCACAGAGAACAGATCTGAAATCCACATGAAGCCGTGACTTCGGATTTTGCCACGTAACACAGCCGATCAGGGGCCCAATCTCGGTGGCAGGGAGGAGCCACTGAAGGTATGAGAGGTGCTCAAGGCTAAGCTCAAAGGAATCTGGCCCCTCTGACAAGGGGAGGTGAGCAGGGCACTGCATAAGTGACTCTGTAGGTTTCACTGGGACCATCTGAGCAGCACATACTGATCCCCTGTAATTGCAGGATCAGATCTAAGGACTGGAAGACTTTCCTCTGCATGAGGCTAAGGAACTAAAAGGAAGTTGCTGCAAAGAGACAGGTTGACTTTCCACCAACAGCACTAGTGACTGAACTCAGGAGGTGCTGAGCTGCATCCCAGTGTATTTAAACTTTAGAGACAGAGGGTGGTGACCCACACTTGTGGTGGCACAGACTGCTGCCCAGGATGGCTTCACACTCCTGATGCAAGGCTTCGCATGGTGATGCCAGTGTGTTATCCCAGAACTGAGGAGGCTGAGGGCAGCAGCACGACCATGATTTTGAGAACAGCTTGGGCTCCATAGTGTGTCTGAGGCCAGCATGATATACACAGGCAGACCCTGCCTCAAGAAACCAACCAACAAACAAAACTTTATGATACTTTATAATCATCTGGTCTCAGCTTCAAAACTTGCTGGGCATAGGGGCAAAGGCCTGTAATCCCTGCACTCAGGAGGCTGAGGCAGGAGAATCATGCAAGTTTCAGACCACCCTGCTTGACAAAGTGAGCTCTAGACAAGCCTGAACTACATAGTGAGACTCCCTCTCAAAAATAGATAATAATAATAATAATAAAACAATCCAATACTACCCCAGAAGGCAGGGAGGGATAATTAGTCTCTTTGCCACAAGTCCTTAAGGGTGTTTCCAATGAAATCAGTGGAGGGAAAGGGCTTAAAGTGATGAAATCTTAGTCGGGAGCTGCTGCAGAGCTGAAAGCACAGCTCCTATGGGCAGACAAAGGGGTCACACATTTCCAAGTTTCCTTGGCGAAGTTACAGAGGAGGAAACCTGCGTCCAACCCCAAGACTCAGTCATCCTAGTGGATCTGACCAATGGCCTTTGCCTTTCATGTCAAGGTTCTTCTCACAGGGACAATTCCCAGGAAAGATGGATCCACAGTCAGTGGCCACGGCTTTCAGCCTGAATGAAAATGATATTAGGCTAAGGAAAGATCAGGTTGATTACAAAGCAGTTCAGGAACTGAGGTAAACTAAACTGAAAAGTTCTAGGAGCCTTTTGTTCTGATTTCTTCTGAGTTTCTTGGCCCTGGTGATCAAATACTACACCTTCGTCCACCCTGCTAGTCTGTTTCTTGTTTTGCTTTGTTTGTGTACGGTGCAGCATCCCTGTAGCCCCTGGAGAGCAGCTTTCCCTTGGGCAGTGAAGCACTTTGTCAGCACAGCCAAGGACCAAAGCCTGAGTCTGCTCAATCCACCCATAACCAGTGTCAAGGATTTTGGTGTCACGTTAACACTGAGAGTCCCAGAGAGGGAGTTTTTCCCATTTTTCTTACACTGTTCCAGGCATTAATTGTGGTCCTTGTGGAACCTGCCACCAAATGGTTGGGTGTCACAGTGGCGTACGTGGACTCACTTTCCCTAGAATGTTCGCATTTGTTTCTTCTGCCTCGGGCTCACCAGTGGCCTCCCACAGCAGGCGTGTTTCTGATCCCAACCCCTGCCCTTCCCAATGGAGCCCCACTTTAGAGAGTTGGTCTCTGAAATGAGTTTCACTTTCACAATCTTAGATCAACCCAAGAGAGAGGCACAGAAACAAGGAAGAAAACATGGAGCATAAATGTCCAGAGCTGTTATCAGGGCATTCTGGAACGCGACAGTAGAGGACTGCAAGTGCAAGCCCAGCCTCCCCATTCAAGAGGACTTTGTCTGAAAACTAAAAGCTTTGTGGTTGCAGCTCATTGGCAATGCTCTACAATGAGTCCCAGTGAGGTGGGTGTGTTAAATAGGAGGATAGAATGCAGGAAACATGGAGGGAACATGTGGCTGGAGAAATCCAGTGGATGGGAGGGAATGACCAACATGAAATATCTTTTTTGAGTGCTGTGATTTCCTGAGGCCAAACTTCATTGATCCAAAAACCCAGGGCCTTTCTTTTCTGTTGCTGCGGATTCATGAGCTCTTAGCTGGAAACCAGGTAAAGTGATCACGGAGGAAACCAGATGACTCACCCACAACTCTCTTTATTTCTGATCATTTCTTTTATATTCATCCAAACATTCATCCAAAGCCTAAATTGACATCTCACAGCTCAGACTCCTATTTCTGGACCCTGTCTAGGACTCAGGCCCACAGAAGTCACTTCTACTCTCAGGTCCGTGAGTCTCCAAGGTTGCTGCCTGCTGCCAAGCCGTTCTTTCTCACGCACACTGAAAGAAGAGCTCTGTGTTCCTGGGGCCCACAAGGAGGCATGGGATATATGCATTCCACTAGACGGGGATACAGGCCGGGCATGGAGAAGGGTGCATGTTATAGAATCGCCTGGTGCAACATAGTTCACCATGAGAAGTACAAAACCAGACAGTCCGGGGATGATTCAGTGTCTTCATCATCCTCCTAAGCACTTCACATAGTTCGTTCCCCATCTGCGGGTAAACACCACCCAAGGGAATATAAACCCCTGTTGGAACAGAGTACAGCTCCTGCTTTAAGTTCCTCAGCCTGGCCGTGTGGCACAGCAGCTTCTTCATGGTGCCTATGGACAAGAAACTCCTTACGAAGCAGAAGGTAGTGAGCTGGGAGCAGCAGCTCAGCGAAGGCAGAAAGGCACAGACCTGTTCATCTGTGATCCCACAGTTTTCCAAATGCAGGGTGGTCAGGCTGGCTGTGACATTATCCAGCAGAATTCGGAGGGGCTCAGAACTGAAATCAGTGAGCCTGATACAACTCAGATGCAAATGTTTTAGCTGTTCGGTCTTCTCAGACTGGGGCAGCTTGTTCCAGTCCGAGTGTGAGAGCTGGCAGTGAGATAACGAGAGGGTCTCCAAGGGGCATTTCAGGCACCTACAGAGAGACCAGGCAGTTAGATCTGCAATTGGTGGCAGAAAGCAGTGAGTAGTGGGGAACAAGGTGGATCAAGGGTCATCTGTGTCAGCCCAGCTTAAGCGTGACTTTACCATCACTTGCTTGATCACCTGAGTCTTTAATCTTACAGTCCCCTCTCCTCGGTCCCAAGCAGAAGAGCGCAGCGCTTTCAGGCTGAGGGCAGCAGGAGACAGGCAGGAATGAAAAATCAGGCAAGATCTGGCCACAGTGGCATGCATTGCCATAGACGCCGTCAGCTGAGTTTGCGTCCTTGTCCCTGCTCCTGACCTCCCTCCCTGTTCCTTGACATCAGTTGCGGAATACTGCACTTCCCATCTGGTCATCAGCCCACCCTAGCACAAAGGCTTCTCATGGTGATGGCAAGGCAGCTCAGAGGGGCATGGGGATTTCTCACCACCTTAGCCTGGATGACCTTTTTCAGGAAGAGTTCACCCAGATGCCCTCAGTGTCTGTGACTCAAGTCTCCTGGAATTCTAGCATCATGGCCCTTTTCAGTCTGCTTAATCCACCACAGTGGCTATGTG